GTATAAAATAGATAATATGATATGCTGAAATAATAGAACAAGCTAAAAAATATAGCATGCATATTGCATACATTAATCAGAATATGAGTGCTGTATACAATGGCAGTTATTAAATCAATGGGCATCAATATTGCTTGCATCTTTAACACAAACACATCCAAAAAAAATTTACCTCAATTATGGTTTTAGTTACTCATCTGTGTATTTAATACCATCAGACTCAAACCTCTGAACAAGATTTTCAAGAATCACAAGTGAAATATAAAGTTTTCTATCACTGATTGCATGTCTAGTGGATCTAATTGGTGACAACATAACTTCACACTGCAAGCATCTTGTGAACAGCATCCAAATGCCTCACATAGCTTCTGCCACTGCCAACAGGAGAGTACTTTGGCGATTACGAATTTCATATACTACTCCTCTGCAGAGATACGATCAGACATTAAAATCTTCAATGAAACATTTAAACCTTAAATAAAGCCCATCCATATGGTAGCTGCCTCTGCTAACTACCATTCCAATAATGTTTAATTTTCTCATAAGAACATTTTACATACAGAAGTTTTACCTGTAGTGTATGTTTTAAAAGTCAATAATACTTCATATTCTGGTAAATGCATGAAATTAATATATTCCATCTCTAATTATTAAACTTATTTGCTCACTAGTGTTCTATAGATAATGCATCAAGATTGCTTTATAATATATCAGCATCTATGGTACAGTCAAATACTGGGTTGCTAGGAATGGTTTGTCATTTATAACCAATAAGTAGGAAATAGCAATTTTTACAAAAAAAAAAAAAAAAAAAAAAAAAAAAAAAAAAATTGCATTTCATTGATAATACAACTTCTTCATCTACACCAACCTTTTATCAATTTATAGCAAATTTCTGCCTACCAATTTCTTAATGTTTGACATTTGCCTTTTCAAGATTTCTACAAAGTCTAATTCCCCCCCCCCATTTTGGGAAATGAATGGCATTTCATCACTTAACTGATTTGCTAATAAGTGAAACAGATTATTAGTAAGACAGTAGTAGGACAGTATCAGAAATATGGAGGATGAACGACAATTTCCAAGCCTAACTTCATTTCTGTATAACTTCATTTGTGTAATATTTGCAACACCCATGAGGTATGGTGCTATCTTTGTGGGAAAATTATTCTCCTACAACAGCATTGTCATTACCTTTTTAATCTTCTTTAATTGGTCATAAGATTCAAAATAATGCTTATTTTTACAGTTTTACCTGGTTGAAGAAACACGTAACAAATTATTCCTCTGAAAATCTGTCTACATAATCTTCTTTCGCTGCAAATATACATTTGCTGTTTTCAAAGGAGATGAATAAACCAATTTCATTTCCTGTAACTACAGAAATTTCATCCTTTCACACATCACAATTTGATATAAAAATTTGTTTTAACAGACCTTGCAAGACTGCAGAAAAACAGCCTTGTTAAATCGCTTCACTAAGTCCATAAGAAACCAGATATTAAGATCAAGCTCTATAGTTAGTATAAGTGATTTAAAAAGAAGGGCAGATAATTAAACAAAGGAACTTTATGTCAAAAATTAAAAAAAACTGCATCAATAAATCAAGTGCTGCCATCACATTAATTAAATCTAACTATGTGCAATAAGAATTTGTGATTTTATTTCTAAAAACTTGTTTGTATTCATAAAATCAGAAATAATAATAATACAAAAATAATTAAACAAAAATTTAATAAACTTTTTTTTTTTTTCAAAATTTTTGTTCCTGTTCTTAATCTAATCAGTCTATTTATCCGTAATTATCTCTATTACGGTTATATTGTATGTTGTGTATTACTGAGAAAAACAGAAGAGGTCTATGAAGAAAACCATTTCCTTTAAACCTTTCAGTATGGGCGTGTCATATGTGTATCAGCAGCGAACATTACCTCACGGCCGGGTGTGTCACATTTGAATCGCCATTTAGTTCACTCTATGGGAGGGCGTACAATATTTGACTTTTTAGATAGAACGTTTAATTAGTATTTTTTGTTGCTGCTAGATGTAGCTAGATGTCTGTTATGGGGAAATATATCAAAAGTTAAGTATGTGTACCTTCATTCCTATGCAATGTTTTTTATTTTTGGTATTTTGTTTTGGAATGAGAGGGAGATTCATGGGTGGGTGTTGAGCAATGTAATGTCTTTTTAACTGCATCGTTTGATATAAACAAATGCACATGTTCTCAATGCTTTGAGGTACTTTTTATTTTTATTTTTGTGATATAGGTATCTGAACGTAGAAGAATATACACAAATGCTAATTTGTTAGTGTTGAGTAACGTGATGGCTCCTACTGCGTCATTTCATATAAACAAATAAACATGTTCTCGATGCTCTGGAATACTTTTTAATTTATTTTTTTATTTTTATTGTTTTTATCCCGCATAGTGGAGTAGATGTTCTATCATTAGAGACTTTTTTTATTACTCTTAGATTTTTCCGGCATTGAGTGGCAAAACGAAAGCGCTACCAGACTAGCACAGTTAGCATCGTACAAAAAGGAGATAACATGAGCAAAAATGAAAAGCTGGAAAATGTTTTGCAATAAGAACAAAAGACTTATAGCCAACTTTATATATTGGTCATAAGTAAAACATATCAACCACCTAACACCTCTCCCAAAAACACATTTCAGAAGAAAATGCAACAGCTGTTGTACTCAACAAAATACTAGACGCAGTGTTTCTTAAAGACTCTCCAATAGATAAGGTAGCCGCCTAGACACTATAGTGTTTAGGATGCGGAATCGAAGGGCTTGGGTTCGAATCCAGGAGAGGGACTGACTGAGTGATGATATTACACAAATGCTAAATGAGTTAAATTTGCTGATATTCTATTCCTGCGACATTTGCAGCATTGGACTTCGCATACACCCATGTTTCATAGAATATCATACACTGTCTTATTGCTTCCTTTTTGTAGATTGCACATTGAATTTTTATGAAAGACAGTTTTAATATTTTTTAATTTTAATTATGTGTTGCGTTAAATAAAATCTGTAATTGTTTGGATATTTTTCCATATATATTTAATTGTGGGATAAAGGAAAAATTATATTATTCTAAAATGAGTATTTTATAAAATTTTAAAGAAAAATATAACAATAAAGTTTAAAAATTAATTCTGACAACTACCTAAATGTTCTCATAATGTACCAAAAATTGGAACAATTGGATGAAAAATTTAATTTATAGGAATTTTTTTCCAAAGTTAGGCTTAGCTGCGCGAACTGACCGTCCCACATGACGACGCATCCGGTTAACGCGCCATCCCAAGAACATGCTACGGTAACCGAGATGCCTGTCGTGAACGGGATATACCTACAAAAGATCTTGCTTACATTCTCTGTGCATATCACCATAGCAACATGGACCTTTTAAACTCATATATTATATTAAATAATAAAAGATAAATTCCTTTTTTCTCCAACGAATAAATATGGGCTCCTATAGAGGTCCTTTCATGATCTAGCAAGTTACATCAAAATTCAGGCAAAGGGATTTAAAAAAAAAAAAAAAAAAAAAAAAAAAAAGGACTCAAGTTATTTTCTCAAAATTAGTACAACTTAAAATGGGCTACAAATCACAACAAATAATTCTAATAGCTTAACCGAAGCTATTTCTGCAAAGAATACACAGCATCACACTTATTATTGAACATACAGATGGAGGACAAAATAATGCGAACACCTGTGAAAAAGTACGATATATTTCACACCTGCAACAGAAGTCTACCACCTAATGAGCGTGAAGAGGAAGGTATCAGTCTCTCAACAGGAGTTACCTGCCTTGCATGCTTCGATCGAACTGTCTGTGAGAAGTTGAAATGTCAGACCTGTCAGAGTTCCAAACAGGAATGATAGAGCACGTTTAAGTGGAGTATCGGTTACGAAAACAGCAAACCTTGTGGGGTGTGCGAGGAGTAGGGTATCAGCCGATATGGCAGCATACATGAAAGAGGGTAAGATGATGTCTTCAAAGCACAGAAGTGGCCGAAAGTCAAAGCTGACTGATAAGGATAGATGGGTCTTGAAATGCATAGTAGCCCGAAAGCACAAGCAATCGTTATCAGAGATAGCATCCAAAATGAATAGTCATCTCTAGGATCCCATTTCAACAAAAACTGTCAAAAGGGAACTTCATGCTGCGAACATTTATGGCAGAGTGGCAATTTGTAAATCCTTGGTGACAGCAACTAATGCTTTCAAGCGATGCCAATGGTGCAGAGATCACAAAGGCTGGCTCCCACAGCAGTGGCAACACGCAATATGGTCAGATGAATCGTCATTCACCCTATTTCAGACGACCAGATGCGTTTATGTCTGGGGAACGCCCAAAGATGTGTTTCATCCTGAATGCCTCTTGCCGACTCTGAAGCATGTGGTGGCGCCATTATGGTATGGGGTGCGATATCTTGGCACGATCTTGGGCCACTTGTTATTCTGCATGGGAGGATCACATCCAATCACTATCTAAGCATTCTAGGGGATCTTGTCCATCCTTTTGTAGAGACTGTATTCCCTGGTTAGCGACCACTTTTTCAAGAAGACAATGTGCCTATCTATATTGCTAGGTGTGTTCAAGAATGGTTTGAAGAGCATGACGATGCAATTGAACATCTCATTTGGCCCCCTCAGTCTCCGGATTTGAATATTATTGAACATTTATGGGCATATTTGGAGTCCAAACGTTCCCGATTTCCACCTCCATCCGGACTTTCGGAATTAGAGACCACTCTGCAGGAGGAATGGCGTAATATTCCTTTAAATATTGTCCATGACCTTTATGCACCTATCCTATGTCGCACTGAATCTGTACTTCAGTCAAAGGGGGTCCAACCCCCTATTCATAAAGATTTTCCATTATTTCACTGGTGTTCCTATTATTTTGTCCTCCATCTGTATTTAGATTCAAATACGCAGATTAACTCTTAATGAAATATAATCATACAACTTACATATGCTTTTTATGGTTTTCCATGATTTTGTGTTGAAATTCTGCATCTTGATGAGGAACAAACTTGAATGATGAGACATAAGTATGATCAGGATAATCTTCAGACACAAAATCACCACATTCAGCTGCCGAAAGATAAAAATACTTATTATGGTATCAATTTTAGATTAATATTCAAAAACTGTTTTAGACACATACACTGAATTTTTAAAGCTTGTGGATCATTTTAACACACTTTACTAATCACTGGGATTATTTATATAAAATCTCATTTTTCTTGTTACGACAGATTGTTAACAAACCCAACACAAAGCTAAATAAATTCTTTCAAAATTTTAATATATTAATGTAAAAGAAACATACTGAATAACAATTGTTAGAAGTTCAAATAACACTTTCTTCATTGTGTGGCTGAGGAAGGTTATGTAGTAAATTTTCATTGAACAGGACTTCAAACAAAAATATTACAACATTATGTACAATGTATTTCTTTCAATGATGCATTTTACATTGTAAAGTACATCCCATACATACAAATCATGCATAAGTATTTACGTCTTGACATGAATTAAAATGTGTTTTGTGAGTATGGCAAAGCCTCGAGGGCTATCTGCCTAAGAGAAGGGATGCCTTCATGGAGGACTTTCTAAGGGAAACTGGCTCGTATACACATTACACATGGGGAAAACCACGAAAACGCCGATGCAGCCAGCCCGTTTGCGGGATTCGAACCTCGAACCGAACTACCAGTGTTCAGCGACTTTACCGCTTGGCCGCTTGTGGGCCATGAATTAAAATGACTAAAAGTAAATGTGCAAAACTTCACAGTTACAATGATATTTATTGCCATCTTAAGAAAACTTTTCAAGCAGTCTGATTCATTAATTGAAAAAGATTCCCAAGTCCTTTAGCAGGAAAATAAAAACAACATACATAGTCATGAAATTAACTCTTAGGAAATAAAATATTCAGGAATAGCTGTCTTGCAACAGGAGAGCAATAATCTATATGAAACATTTCTTGAATTCAACAAAATCATAAGGAACTCAACACAGCATCTACAAAACCCCAGCTTATAATTCACTGAAGGAAAACTAGGAAATCAAAATCTAAAATTCTCTCAGTAACTTCTATGTATCCTGAACTTACCCAGTTTTAAAATCTTTCTGCACTGTAGATATGTTACAGATGAACAGTACAAGTTAAAATTTTCAGATAAGTTAATATTTTTAAACTTTTAAAGATGGAATGGCCATTATAGTGGCCATAGAGTCCTCTGTTTGAAAGGACGGGATTGTCCACTTTCGTGGGCATGTCTTTTTCCCCCCTTTTTCAAGCTGAAAGAGTGGGGTGAAATGTCAAATTTGACAGCCCTGGAGTATTAACCACTTAGTATCTCTTTCAAAGGTCTTTGTGTTAAGAATCCGGTTTTTCCCAATTTTTCCCTTTTAGTTCCTGTAGCTACATAGCTACAGAATTCGCGATAACTGCGTTTGTAAATTATAAACAGAGCCTTGCATTGTTTTAGAATATTGCATATTTTTGTAAGTTTTTTAGGAGCCAAAAAGGAAAAGAGGTTTGACTGAAAAAGAAATACGAAAACTTCTTCAAGAGCTTGATGATGAAATATATACACATACATATATCTGTATGTTTAATACACTTATTCATAAATCCACATGCAACCACATATATATAAATGCATATGTGTGCCTGTGTGTCTACATGTACGTGTCTGTATACACGTTATTCCCATTTAAGGATATGCATGCTTTCCACTTTATGTGCATATCTGCACTTATACCATATATATCAGTGCAGACATACATACTACATGGATATGTAGTTATACATTTCCATAAACAAATATAAATTCCTACGTACTTATATACATGTACAAGCACTTTTTTTTCCATTCTTAACAGTTCTGTCTGTCTTTATTTCCATATATATCTGTTTATGTTGAAGTGAACTTCACACACGGAAGTTTACCGTGATAGTACTGTTATTCAGACAAATCACAAGAGCATAAATATAAATTTTGTGTCAAAGAAACAACAGTAGTTTTACAATTTCAGTCTGAAACCTGGAAATTGTAAATACACTAAAACTAGTCAATCAGTTTGAAAGGTCATCTCGAGCCATTAGATTCCAGAGGTACTGTTATTTTAAAATGTACCTCCGTATCAGTGTCTCGATTTCATGTTCAAATAATTTTGAGGTAAGATGTTCAGAATGGATTAGAGTAGCATTTGTGAAATTTCACTGACTGTTGAGCTCCGAGAATACAAACAGGATGTAAAAGCTCTCAATTAATGTACAAATCATTGTTCTAAGACAACCCATGTTCCCCATCTGAATTTCTGAACCTTGACCTTTTAAGTGATTGAATGCCTTTGTCATTCATTCATTAGACATACATCTCAGCAACTATGTTCAAGGAGAAATTCCTGGGGACCATACCTTGGGCACTCAGTTATGAAACAGTTTCGATACGACAGCATAATGACTGAGGTGTTAATGAAACCAATAAATAGGTGCCAAATTTTCAATAAAAAAGATAAAAACATTTAATTAAACTGTGTCAGCATAGATTTCGCATGACCTGACAATGAAGATTTTTTTAGTAACTGCAAGTAAAGATACTCGCTAATATATCGCAGAATTTAAATTCCACCATATAAAATATGCCGCCATGGTTGATGTCAAAGCTGCTATAAAGACAGTCTGGAGTTGAAACGAACTGGTTAAAACAATAGAGGAAATAGAAAAATTCACATGGGACGACGATTTCAAACAGGAGAGAATTTTGCTGACCGGGCACCTGTAATTATCTGGAGATTTCTCTTAATGTGCTAAATTATGTAGTATAATATACAATAACATAATACAGTATTGAAGACAACAACTAATTAACGTGTAACTTTTTTCCCACAGTTTTTGCAGACACTATGCATAACAAACAATATTCCCTTCAATTTGAAAAACTCTTTGCACTAAGAAATTACCTAAATTTTGAAACCCGAGTGAACACGTTCCCTTAGTGAGGCTGGGAATTTAGTTTTAGACAAATGGGAAAAAAAAAAAGACAAATGGAATTTACATTTTGAATTATGGGTTTGCATAGTAAATAATTTGACATTTTTAATGACTTAAATTCATTCTATTATTAATACTTGAAATATATCACTTACTAATTTTCAATAAACAGTATAAAATAGTATATGATTAAATAATCTTTTTTTTTTTTTTTCTCAAATTTTTAAAACTAAAATATTCTAAAAAAAACAGTTTTTGAGCGTGTTTTATTATGCATTAATTTTGGAAAAGAACTGAATTTTGATTAGTAGCACTTATGTAGTTGGACATTGCAGTACTAACAGTCTACAATAAAACAAAATTAATTTTAATTAAACCAGTTATTTTCTAAGTTGCTGAAAGTTTCCTCCTTAAATAGTATGTTATCAAGCAGATTTTGAACAATTATGTAAAATTAAAATTTCATTATGCCTATACAGCATAATTTTAACAGTTCCACTTAACCTTAATTTTTAATCATTTCTATAGTTTTAAGCGTTTATTTTTTAATTATTAACTGTATGGAAGAAAGTTCAAAGATATAGCTATATTTGATAATATATACCAAAACAAATTTAAAATTATAAGGATATTTAACAGTAAAAAAAAGACTGAGATGAAGACTGGTTAAATTTTAAATTGCCAATGAAATAGTTGAAATACTTTTTGACATAACATTAATATAAAGATACGATAGAAATAATTACTGTAAGCACTTAGTAAAGACACATAGTTTTGCAGTGTAATTTAAAATTCACACCAAAATTTTATAAAAACGAAAGTAATGTCCTATAATATAAAGAATGGCACGGAGGTTTACAAATTTCGCAGTAGTCTCAATCCGGAACAACTGTAATATGAAATTTTCCCTCAGTGATGAAAAGCATCTTGAAGTCTGCTCACTAATCCCTACACTTCCCTTCCTTTTGCGACATAGATGCACCCCTCTGAGAATCCATTAAACTACACACAAGAATCTTTGTTGCAAATAGGAGGTGATTTCTTAAAGGGGGGAAAGCATTCGGTTCAAGATTCCCCGTCCTTTCAAGGCTTTTACTGCTACCAAAGGCCCGGCCTCAAAAGGTTAATGTTTTTCGTTATATAGCACTTATTACATTCAATGTAAATACACATCTGTGTGCAAAATTAATATAATTTGCACAGGTTGAATTTCTTAAAAACTAATGGACAGATTTTAATGAAATTTTGTATGAATATACATTTATAACAAAGAAAATTATGTACCTTTCAGAAGTCATTTTATGTATCCACGATTATCACTCAAGCTCACAGTGCATAGATGTCCAAAATCCATGTTGTGATATCGAACTTAAAATGAGTTTAATATGGGGTATTGTTTCCCTCTCACAGCCAGATGGGTCACACCACATGATGGCATGCATACCGGATAGGAGGCAGTTGAGAAGTCCCTGCTGCAGTTTTCAACTCTGGGACGATTCTTAGGGGAGGGGGAATGAGATAAAAATGCCTTCCCAAGAGCATACCAGATTTCCTCTATAGGGTTAAGGTCAGCAGGTCTGGCTAGCCAATTAATCCCTTTCCAGGTAATCATTGATTAGCTTAGCTCTGTGTAGATCAGTACTGTCGCCCATTAACAGGAATCCAGGACCAACTGTGCCCTTAAAATACTGAGAATAGGGCTCTAAGATCTCCTTTCTATACCTCATAGCAATCATGTAGCTTTTGTCAAACATACGCAAGGATGCGTGACTGTCCATAATAATGCCAGCCTAAACAACTACACATCCACAACAGAAATAATCCTTTTCCTGACAAGGGAAGGATGTACTATGTTCTAGGCTCTCTCCAAACACAGGTATGCCAACAATCAAAGTCCAGGCTGAATCTCATCTGTATAACGCACAATATTCCACTGAAGTCTGGTTCAAGGCACAAGTTATCTGCACTCTCTTGTGGGCTGCAATGAGTGGGACATAAACAGTTCATCTTCTGGAATACAGCCTTATCTCGTGAAGCCTTCAGGTAACTGTAGATCTTGAAACTCAGGTTCTAGTGGCATATAGCTCATGTGAGAGCTGTGAAACTGTAGCAGTCCTGTGTAATTAATTGCATTGGTAGTATCAAATAACAACCCTCATTCATCGCTCTGGATCTTGGTTGATCTTGTCAAGGTCTTCTTGATATGGATCCAGTGTTTTGAAACTGTTTGCAAAAACTGCAGATGACAATGGGCATTACATTGAGCTCTGTAGCCAACTGCACTTATGATTGACCTTCCTCCAATATGCTGACAATTCTCCATCTCATTCTGTCATACATATATTCATGCCTACTTATTTTACCTGACACCTTTTAAAATTTAGCCAACTGTTGTAAGAAACACAGTGAATGTTACAAAAGAGTACGAGCACACAAACTGCCAAAACATCCTCATGCGCTTATATCCCCTCCACAATCAGAGCTCCGCAGAGACGCATGTGCACTCTTACGCATTCAACTCTGAATACTTGCATAATTCTTCAGTAGCATAATTAGTACTTTTTGTGAAAATATACATAATTTGCAAATTCCCTAAATTCAACATAAGCAAAAATCACAATAAAACTTTAATAAATTCTAAATTTCAGAAATGTATTCACAATCATTCAGCTCTAAGTCAGTTTCAGTCCCCTCCCTCTTCATAAATCAAGTTCATGAACAAATAAATAATTTTTTTGTCAATATAAGAAGCACGTTAATGAACAATCTATGAAGCATGTGTATGGAATAAACTGTGGCTTGCGATAAAAAGCACAAAAGGTGTCACACAGAACATTTAATTGCAAATACATAATATATACTACATAATTTCTTTAAAATATAAAAATTTTATTATACCTTGAACAATATAAGAAGCCATTAAAGCTGCAGTATTATCATTGCATATTAAAACACCTTGAGCTAAATCCCTTTTGATTTGTAAACTGAATAGATACCTAAACAAGAGGGAAAAAATCAGTAACATTTCTTTTTCTACTCACAATTTTTAAGGATGTGATTAGATTTGTGTGAAATACATGAAAAATAGCACAAAATCCAAGAAACATTAGAAAAATAAAATAATACTACATAAATAACTTTCCATGGTACATGCTGATCATTTCTCTTAAAAGATATATAACAAATATATCTATAATTAAACATAAAAATAACCCAGAAAAATTTCTGCTAGAACAAATAATACCATGATCATGTAAAACCCCATAGTAACTAACATTCACAGAAAAAAGTGCACACAAATATTGCTCCTATTGATTCCTGCTACATAAGAAAATAATTCTCCCACTTTCAGTCCACACAAAGCAAATTCTTATTTCAAAATTTCCTCATGCTCCAAAATATAATCAAGTTGTTCAAATTATATATTTTACTTGTTTTTCACTAAGATGTCTTTTTATACACACTATAATTTTTATAGTCAAACATTGAATAAGTCTGACAAGAGAAGAAATGTTGACCACATTGCTCAGCAAATTTAAAATGGAACAAATTACTTCCTAATATATATCATAAGCACTGATTAGACATCACCCTATTGTAAATTATTTAGATGTTTGAAGAAATTTTGAAGATACTGAATTTAAGGTACCAAAACAAAAAGAAAAACTGATTTCCCCCCAAAAGCAATGTGTATCATACTCTTATGAAAATATCTATATACACAATCAGAGATACTGTTATAATAGTGAACTAAACACAAGCTTAACAATGCAGTACAAAGTCCAAGATCCGAACATCTAATATCCGGAATGATCTAAAATCCAGACCACAGAGCCACGAACAGCGTTTCTTATTCTATGCTTTATATATGTGCATCTGATATTTTTTCCCTTATAATAAAATGTGAAGAGTCCAGATTCTTAATTTCACTTCGGCACTAAATGCACTTCAGACCTTGTTATTGAAGAAACGATCATTTTAACATAAATTTGTCTGATCAATAATTTGGCTCTGTAGCTACGTATTGACTTGGCATACATCTCAAACCGAAACATTACACTTAGAACCTTTGTTGTTTTTATCCCTACTAGTATTGTATATCCCTTATGCTAACCTGGCAAATCATTATTTATTAGATTTTACTTTCATCACTGCATGTTTATCAACACATGACAACTTGAGAAATGACTCATGCAGCGATGTCTAAAAATTTTTTACATAAATAATTTAATAACAAAGAGTGTGGTAACCTTTTATGTTGATTGATGATGATTACAGATTTAAGTTCACTATGCTAAGAAATGTTGACAAGGAAAATTTAACAAAAATTTCTTTCCATATGCTAAAAATAGATTTTGTTAATGATACTCATAAGCCAAAAGATTAAGCGCTATTTCCACTAAGCATAACTGATTTGTCACTCACATAAACCCAGAACTGGTGCCAGAGCTCTTATGGCCACACTGGGTGGCAGAATTTAGGAAAGAAAATTTTTTTTTAATTTAGAGAAGCACTGAGCAAAAAAATTAAGGCATAAAAAAATTTTTAGCGTTTAGGAAAAGCAATAACACCCAAAATTTAGGACCGACAAAAATTTAGAACTCAGGAAGGCACTTGGTAGCAGAATTTAGGACCATAGAGACTGCATCGTTGTATTTAATTATCGCAAAGAACACTAGGGCTATCTGCCTAAGGGGAGGAATGCCCTCGGGGAGGACCTTTCTAAGGGAAACTGGCTCGTATACACGTTACACATGGGAAAACCACGAAAACACCCATGCAGCCAGCCCGTTCGCGTGATTCGAACCTCGGACTGAACTACCAGTGTTCAGCGACTTTACTGCTCGGCCGCTGGTGGGCACAGAGACTGCATCAGGCGGTAAGAAACCTAGCGCCGGCCCTCGATAAGAATTAAGTCCCTATAATCCTATGTGTCCTATGTGGTATCTGTTACTTCAACACAGCCACCAGAGGGCATCACGTTATGTCCCGACTGTGAGAGCAAAAGATAGACAGATGTTGATTCCACGTAAAGGTGGTAACAAAAGAACTGCAATGATAGCAAGCGCGAGTAGACGCTGAGTAGCTATTTAAATACTTAAAGTCATGCAGAACTGCATTTGTATCTAACAAGCATGAGAACATGCAACGGTACTGTTATTTAATTCAAATCTGTAGCTTTTCTATTATTATTCATTAAAATGATTTGTGGTGTAGAAGTGTTATTTACTTATATCATCTTCAACTCCCCACCCACAGGAAATCTGGGGGCTCTGATCCGGGATCTGGCCAACAAACAAGCAAGGTAAAGTAGTACTTTATACAGTCAAAAGTCTTTAGTCCGGACGTCCATAATCCGGAATGACCTATAATCTGGACCTCAAAGCCACAAACTTTCTGCGCATGCGTAAATGCATTGCGCATACAGTCAAAAGTCGTTAATTCGGACACCCATAATCCGGAACGATCTATAATCCGGACCTCAAAGCTACAAACTTTGTGCGAATGCGTCGCGTTGAAGCATGCGCGTAAGACATTTACCGCTGCGAATTTGCATGTGCAAAATACGTTTACGAATGCACGTTTAATGTATAACGGACGGGATAAGCTAAGCTAAAATTATCTAATTATCTATTTCAGTTAATGTTGCAGATTGTGTTGTTCCTTAATCTTCGAATTGGATCTAGATTATTATTTTTTGCAGACTGTTACAGCAATTTTATAAAAGTAAGCTTGAACTTTCGATTATGTCAAATAGAATTTCCTATATATATTTACTAATATGTAAAGGATATACAAAGCGAAAGTATCTTTCGGAGTCCATTAAACAAAAATTGGAATTGCTGCAAAAAATGGATAAAGGCATATTTTTTGTTTATCTAAACTTTGTTTATCTTTAACGCCGCGGCGGCGTGCAATGAATTGGAAGTTGATTTGTCAGCACTATCCTTATCTTAAGAGAAGATGTTTTTATTTTATTTGGCTTATAATTGCTTACTCAATGTAGTATTTCATCTCGATGTACTCCGTCATTGATATGATTTAAATCAAATGCCTCATCATTATAATTCGCTTCCGATAGCAAAGAAAGTGACATAGGTTATTGAAAACGAAAAAATTTCGATTGACAAATTAGTCGGTATTCTCGACACAGCAATTATAGAACTTGAACAGTGGAACTTTGTAACTGAACAAGAAATTATGTCTGTTTATAGAATTAAAGACAATGTATTATCACATAAAAAACGAAGCAACTGAAACAACTTACATTGAAAGAAATGTTTAATAAAGTAAATAAATATTAAGCTTTTTTTTTGTAAATTTTGATACCCTTTAGATCATAATTGTTCTTTATTTCGAAAATTACGGTTTCATATTTTTAATTTTATAATTTCTGCATGGCATTTTACCAGATTTAAACTGATGATCTATAATATGGAAAAATCGATAATCCGGAATCGCCAAAGTCCCGACGAGTCCGGATTAACGAATTTTGACTGTAGTACGTTTACACACGCGCATTTAATGTATAATGGACGGTATAAGCTAAGCTAAAATTATCTAATTATCTATTCCAGATTGCGTTGTTTCTTAATCTTCAAATTGTATCTGGGTTATTGTTTTTTGCAGACAATTAGAGCAATTTCATAAAAATAAGCTTGAACTTTCGATTACGTCAAAAAGAATTTTCGATTCTGGAGTTGCCAAAGGATCTACAAAGCGAAAGCATGTTTCATGTCCATCAAACAAAAAAGTGGAATTGGTAATTGCTGCAAAAAATGGATAAAGGCATATCCTTTGATTCTCTAACCATTCTGAAATATGTTCATCAATATCATGCTGCTCTGCCGGGAAGGGGGAACGATGCGACACGCAATGGACTGGAAGTTGATCTGTCAGCACTATCCTTATCTTCAGGGCAGATGTTTTTTTTTTATTCGGCTTATAATTCCTTACTAAATGTAGTATTTCATCTCGATGTACTTCGTCTTTGATATGATTTAAATCAAATTCCTCGTCATTATAAATATCACGAATACACATGAAATAGTTTTCAGGTTGCAATTTTCTAATTTCGAGTATGCGTAATGTATGCTTTATGCATGCACGCGTTGAAAGAAATGTTTAATAAAGTAAATAAATAAATATTAAGCTTTTTTTCTTGTAAATTTTGATACCCTTTAGATCATAAATGCTCTTTATTTCATAAACTATGGTTTCATATTTTTAATTTTATAATTTTTGCATGCCATCTTACCAGATTTAAATTGATGATCTATAATCCGGAAAAACTGATAGTCCGGAATCACCGAAGTCCTGACGAGTCCGGATTAAAGACTTTTGACTGTACCAATTTAATATAATCATCATGAGTGTATTAAATAATATCAGAAAATAATCGCAGAAGACTATTTTCAAGAAAGATTTAACCCCTAAAGTGGCGAGATGGGCATTACTTCTAGAAGAATTTGACTATGAAATTGTTCACTGATCTGGGCAGCAAATGACACACGTGGATTCGTTAAGCCAAAACGCTGTCATGATGGTTACCTATTCTCAGGAAGAAGTTACAGCTAAAATTGCAGCTGCGCAAAGAAGTGATGAGCAACTCCAGTTGCTAAAATCCTTAGTCGAGCAAGGACTAAAGAAAGACTTCCTAGGGAAGAAGGGTGTATTATACAAGTTCGACAGTGGTCGCGAGTTACTTGTGGTACCCGAAGCATAGGAGCTAGAAATCATATGTAGTATTCACAACAAGGGACACTTCACAGTGTCTAAAACGGAAGATGTGCTGAAAATGGGCTTTTATATTCCTAACCTTAGAAAACGAATTGAACAAGTTATCTCAAATTGTGTAGAGTGTATTTTGTGTAACAGAAAACGAGGTAAGGGCGAAAGGTTGCTGAATCCCATCCAAAAGACAGTACCCCTTTGAGCACTTTTCATATTGATTTTATAGGACCATTACTTTCGACAAATAAGAACTACAATCATA